ATTGGTGAAAGTATCGAATCTGAATTCTAAAATGACCAGAAAAAACAAACATTTTGGATTATCCAAGTCTTGGTGCAAATTGAAAGCAGTCACAACGAGTAGGGTTTCAATTTTTTTGTTGTTGTTTGTTTTCCACAAAATGCTATACAACTGATGGGTATGTGAAATTAACCCCAATTAAGGCCAAATTTTGTTCCAAATTGTTGTTTGTTGTTTCCATGTTTTTTGAGGGACGAAAATTCCGTCCAACTACACGGATATTATCGAAAGATGCGAAACCATTGTTGACTTGATTTGTTGGTTGCAAATGACCGTGGAATCATAACGATGATTCAAGGGTGACAGGCATGAATCAATTTATACAATTTGGTTTTCGATGGTTTTCGTCCAAAAATAAATGTTTTGGAGTTAAGTATGTTAAGTAATCAAATTGAACCAGTGTCAGGTGCACACAGGGAAAGAAAAACTCCACATACCGATGCGCATGCAAACACAAACACAAGCATTCCATTTAAATTCACAACCGCTGCACATATGCAGGTGCATCTTTGCACGGGTATCAACTTCTAGGTTTGCATTCCCCAACATTTACGGATGCAATTACCGAAACGGATCGAGAATCCTCACATGAAGGGCTGGGGATAATCAAAATACATACCATATGTAATATTAAAATTGGTTTGGAACTGCCCTTTTCCCCTACGGAAAACCTGTCGAAGCTGGATGGGGCGTCGATTTTGTTGGTTTCTGTGCCACCAGCACTTCCTTCCGTGCCTTTTTTGTGACAACAACACTGCAAACAATCGTCCGAAAATGGTATATAGTTTGAAACGAATTTGGGATCACAACTTACGTTGACATTGTAAATTGGAAAAATTGAAACTGCAAAGGGTCGGAGGGAAATGCACAAGTTACGGCTTTGATTTTGATCCTCAGGGCCTCAAGTGAAAAGAGTCATCACGTGTCATGTGACGTGATCTGAAGGTGATTGTTACACTCTCGATTTGTGCGGTCATCGCATGATTTCATGGTTCATGCTACATGTATGTAAGGACATGATTGCAGTGCTCAAACATTTGCACTCCTCCTTTTGAATTGTGAGTCTTCAGCTCACAGTTCAACCAGAAAATCAGCACATGCAGACCTAGCTGCTGCACTCACTGACAAACAAGCAGGGATTAGTTTGGGGAGTTGCCTGCGTTCCCCTTCACGTCCTTCCAGTTTCCATTGGAGCCACCATCATTGATCTCACTGTAACGGCGTTGCCCTGATACCTTTCAGCAACTGCTGGAAATAGGATTCCATGCCTGGGTGTCATGCTCGCCAACCTATTTGCAACTTCCTGGGGAATTGCAGTCTAAAACCGGTCAAGCCCCATCTGACATTCTATTCTGGCATTATATATATATATATATACTTGAGGCCGGGGGTGGATGACGAAAGCTAGCGGGGTAGGAGAAAGAAGGAAGGGAAGACCGTGTGTGGTCAGCGAGGGAAGGTCCGCGGTGGGTCCGCTGCAGATATAGAGAGAGAGAGAGAGAGAGAGAGAGAGAGGGAGAGGGAGAGGGAAGGGAGAGGGAGAGGGAGAGGGAGAGGGAGAGGGAGATTTCCTCTTTTTCTTTCAGCTCTCTCTCGCTTCCTCTCTCTCTCCCTCCCTCCCCCCGACCTCCCTCCCCCTTTTCCTCTTTTCCTATTTCCTCTTTGCCTCTGTTTTTCTTTTTTCCTCTTTTCCTCTTTTCCGTTTGTCTCCTTTGAAGATGTGAAGATGTGAAGACGTGAGAAAGGGAAAGAAGTTGTCTGAAGACGTGTGATGATGTGTGAAGCCGGGCAGATGGAAGGAAGTGAGGAGGTGAAGAGGTGAAAATGCGAAGATTGGAGGCTGATCTGTGTAGACGTGAAGAGGAAGATGTGAATATGTGAAGACGTAGGATTTGCTGTGTAGATGTGAAGAGGAACATGTGAATACGGGAGGATGTACAACAGACACTACCATGAGAAGAATGCGTCGGTCAGACACTGGCAGGAAAAAGCATGCATACGATCGAGAATACATACATGGTGCCTGTCAAGACATGAAACTTACATGTCATCAAGGGGGTCTGTCATATTCAGGAAATAGGACAGAGAGCAGAAAATGAGCTGCAATGCTAGAATTTAGAAGCTTTGTCGAGTCAGGGTGATATCATCCCATTAGGCTTAAACTTGCACAGTCTGGCGAGCATTTTTATGGTCACCAGAGAAATTGACTCCGGCCCAAGTGGAAGGACCTCCGGCCAGCCAGCTGGGAAAAGTACGCCGCCCACGATCAGTTCATTGCGAGGGGTCTCTAATATCATCAGATTGGACCCAAGATCACAGTTTAGGGCATCACATTTAGAGGTAGAGTTCTACATCAGGAAAGAGTTGCATCGAAAGAGGCTGCGAAACTGACTACACAGTACAGGTTGGTGGTGTACCTACTCGTCCGAAAAATATGAAAGTCAGGTGGGGTTATGTTCGTAAGATATGGAAAGGAAAAAAAACAAGTTCCAAATCACCAAGATTTATAGAGTTGGAGTTCGCTACAAAAAAACAACGATTTGTTGGGTATCCCCATGACTAGTCGGAAATCTCCTAGATCAGTAAACATTAAAGATTAATGTAACTACACGTATAGATAGATGTATATATATATATAGTAGAGATATAGTAACATACTATAATAGATATATATATATATCCTATAGTAGTAGATGATAGAAGAACAAAAACATGAGGGAACAGTAAACATAAGCATGTTGTTTCGGCGTCCCTTTCGTGGAGCTCTGTTCTACTTCGACGGACGGATGACCGGAACCGCGACAGTCTGGACTGCCGGCTTTCGGTCGCTGGAAACGCTACGGACGGCAGAGATATCAAAGGTTTCAGTAGTGAAACAGTGACTGGACCAGGAGTTTTATATATTATATATATAGTTGTTTATCAACAACGTAAAAAATTGCATTGCTGTTCATCATTTTAGATGAAACCTGTGATGCTAAGCAGCTTGAAGTCCAAGAGAGCTAGGTGTTTTGTTGGGATGAGCCTTTTCGAAGCAATGAAACTTGGCAGGTCCAAGAATGCGGGATCCAACATCTTTACTGTCGGAATTTTGCTTTTTGAAACGTCACTGTGCACCCCAGTTGTCTCGGCGCAACTCATGGCATCAACTGTTGGGATGGTGGTGCCTCAGCCAGTCACATGGGTCCAGTTCCAATTCCGGTCATCAAACTTCGCTGGAAAATTCCCCCGAGCGAACCAAACCGTCATTAGCAGCCATCTATGTTTGATCACTGGGGAGTATCATCAGTTCGGTTGCTTGGTGTCTACAACGTTTAGTATAGATCGATGTAAGGTAATGTAACATAAGGTAAGGCATTTGGGGAGGAGTCACTGACCAGCGCAGAGACTTTTTCACGCTGAGTTGGTCCGTGGACAGCGGCGCATCGACCTGTGCGCTGGCCTGAGCCAGTCGCGCCGCCTTGGCTCTCGCTAGGACCGCCGCCACCTCGTGTGGTGACGCCTGGGGGCACATTGGTTGGTGCGCAGCAACTGGATTGTTTATCTGAGGGGATACACGACGCTCCACAACACTACAACTACAACTACACTCCACTAACTCCATTACACTCGACTACACTCCACGATACTAAAGTACACGACATTATTATACTACATTACATTACGCTACAGTAGACTCCACTACACTACACGACACTACACTACACGACGCTACACTACACAACACTAGCTTCCACTACACTTCACTACCTGACACTACATTACACTCCATTACACGACACAAAGACAACTACAATTACACAACCAGACTCCACTACATTCCACTACACTAGACTACATGACACTACACTACATGACACTACACTACACTAGGTGAGCCTCCTCTACACTGCAGCACATTTCACTATACTACACTACACTACAGTCCACTACACTACAAATACAACTACAACGACACAACTACACTCCACTATACGCTACGATACTCCACTACAGTACACTACATTACGCTACACTACAAAACACAACCTTCCACGACACTTCACTACACTACACAACACTACACACAACACTACAACTACAATGACACTCCACAGATAGATAGATAGATAGATAGATAAATAGATAGATAGATAGATAGATGGATAGATAGATAGATAGATAGATAGATAGGTACTTAGATGGTCCATCATTGGATTCGCTGTGCCATCTCTGAGTCACAACAACCAACATCTCCTATAGGTTTCTTATTTTTGAAACATTCGCCACCGCTTTGTGCGGTACTACGAGTAACGAAATCACACGCAGAAGCAAAATAATACTATACGCAGACAACTGACTCGTCAATGGATTGTGTCCAACTGTATTTATGTAGAACGCACATATATATATGTGATATATATATATGTGATATATATATATATATATATATGTGTGTGTGTGTGTCCATGTCTCGCTGTCTCTCTCCCTGCATTTGGATTATTCTCGCAGACTCCAGGGGGGTCAGTGTCACGGTCAATTTGTTGGTCAAATCGCCTTGGATTTGGAATTGCTTCTGGGACTGGTCGGGGTAAATGATCTGGGAGCACGTTGTCGTCGCGACGTATTCGTCTTCGTTGCCTTGCCAACGTCCGGTCAGCAGCTCCAAGGACTTCACCCGGACCATGGCATGGCACGACGGCGACGAAGAAAAATTGGATGAAACACCTTTTGCAATTGAATCAAAGATGAACTACGCATGCGAAAAAGGGACGTTTTGAACGAGGAAAAGCTGAACTGAAGCGCTGCAAATACTTTTTTCATGGTTGGCACATGGGAATACAGGAGCGCAAATGCGTCGATGAGTATGGAAAAAATTGATTGACATCATGACACGAAAAGAAGGAGAAGGGACCAGATAGAGGACAACAACTACTTCATCGTCAGGTAAATAGATGTCAAACGATGGCAAACATCTTTTTGCACTGCTGTGGGCCGAGGCTTGCCGGCGCAAGTGAAACCAAAGTCCGAAAGCTGAGAATGGCAAAAAGTTGCTACATAAGTACTGGACGTTTTCGAAAAGGCCGCAAATTGCGCAAGCTGCGAGGCGTGACTTGCCGCCGCACAATTAGTGTGGCGACGGCTAGGCGCTGTTTGAGCCGCAAGAGGTTGTGGTTGAGCTTGTCAATGGTGCCTTGGCAGAGGACGTCGTTGACGGAAAGCTGCGAGAGATCCTTCACCAACCTCGTGACAGCCGAGCGCAACGAAAAGGAAGAACCTTTTCGCAAGCAGCGTGAATGCAAAAGAGGGCGGCTGGACGATGGAGACAGAGGCGCGCGCTTCCCAAAACGTCGGGTGAGGCATGCAAGTTTGGAGGTGCAGGGGGGTGTTGCAAACACGCACTGCAAATGGCAAAGCATCGCTGCCACTGGTTCCACGTGAGAGGCTTGCCAAGGAGTTCGAGCAGGTTCGCGTGCAAGGCTGGGCACTGTTCATCGGCGGGCGTCTTGGAGGTCAAAATGGCAGAGATGTCTTGCAGCAAGGCTTCCGCTTCATGTGGGGCAAGAGGCGCTGCAGCTGTAGGGCTGGAACAGGGGAATTTTTGGAGCATGGAATTGCGAAAAGCCTGCATAGACGAAGGCAAAGTAGCCAAATGATGACGTGCGACAGTTTTGGACCACAAGTGCTGCCAATCATTCCAGGGAATGCAGCGCGGCAAAGCTGCAATGAGAGCGGCGGCGAGCTCATCCTCGAGGAAGAGCAGGAGCAGACAAAATGAACTATATGATAGGGGGCATCAAAACACAACGAGAAAAAAGGAGAGTCGGAAGACGAGACGCAGGCGGAGCCATGCTGACGTCAGGTGACGATGATGCTGGCACAGGAAGCTGTCGGAGAATGTTCTCGAACCAGGTTGCGAAGTCATCTGGAAAGACAGCAGGCGCGTCCGTGAAGCCGGCAGCAGGAAATTTAGACAGCATGGTCTGCTGATACATCAAGTATGTACAGACAGAAGTGGGGCAGGGTGAATGAACGACAACGCGACCCCAGAGCCGCTGCCAATCATTCCATGAGATGCAGCGCAGCAACGCAGTTGCAATAGCAGCTGCGAGAAAGTCCTGCAGCGGATAATGCATCGGAAGGAAAAAATTGGAAGAAAGGTTAAGAAAGATGATGCATGACATTAAAATTTACAGGGAAGTGGTGCGGGCAACAACGGAAGCAAAGAAAAAAACAAACAAAAAGGTTGTCGTTTCGATGAAGCCAAGGCACGGAATCAGTTGGGCGCTGGTCGGCAGACAAAGCAGGCGCCGGGGCAACATTCTGGATGGTTTGCAAGCAATGCATGAAATCAGCGGAAGTGAGCGAAGTAGGAGCTTCGACACCAGCCTCCCCGAAGCGGTCACGCATGGTATCTCTGTAGAGCTGATGCGTGCAAGAAGCGGTGGGAAGATGAAGCAACGAAATGCTTTTGTGCCAGAGCCGCTGCCAGTCATTCCATGGGATGCAACAAGGCAAGGCAGCCGCGATCTTGGCCGCAAGGCTTTTCTCAGGACATGGCATGGCAATAGAAAGGAAGCATGAACTACAGGGGCGTAGGTTTGAAGTAGAAAGCTTAGACAAGGCAGGCAGAAGCGACAATTGGTCTCAAGGCTTCAATGCACAAAGATGGAACTAAGCAGTGAAAACAAAGAAAACTTGCCTGAAAAGTGTTTTAACAGAAGAAGGCTCAAAATACAGAGTATGATGCTCTCAAGAGTGGCAGCCTTTTGCACCGCTGTGGATGGAGCGCGGTCAAAGCTCAAGATGTGGAAGAAACGGCTAAATCTCGAATGATCATCAAAGAACAGCATTGGCAAGTCAGCCGGTGGCCTCAGGCTCAGGGAAGTAGCCACGGAGAGTTGCTTCGTGGGCTGGGGCAACATCATTGGCGATGAGCACGACATGGAAGGTCTCTGCAAGAATGCTGCGGATGGAGGCCAGTAGATCCAAGTCGAAGCGGTTGTTGAAGTCTAAGGGGTGGGTAGTCCGCACATACCCGTCGGCGGTGTTTGCGCCCTCGATGTCCAATTCGTCCATCGCTTCTTTTAACGGAAATGTGTTTCCGGTCAAGCGGAGAAACACGTCTGTGAACTGGGATTTGTGACAGCTGAGCGTGAGGTGTCCGCGGCTGGCAGGAGGCGCAGCACTCCACAGGCTGTGGTTCGGATTGCTGTCGCCGACATGAGTCAACTTCCAGGCATAGTGGGGACGTCTGTGAGCGCGACCTCGGCAGGGGAGTAGACGTGCAGGTCGATGTTGCGAAGATTCGGAGTGCGGAGCTGAAGCCACAAGCCGCAAAGTTGTGCAGCAACGTCAAAGCAGCAATTGGCCCAGACGGCCCTCCGCCACTCAGTGTAGAGGCTCTTTGCCCAGGTTGGTGCACTGCCAAAGGCGGCATGAACTTGCATGAACTCCGCCTCAGATTCACGGGCAGAGGAAGCAGAACGCACAAACCAAAGACAACAACGAAAGAGAATAAGTGCAACGAAGGCACAAGCTTGATGAGCTCGGATGGTGTCTCGGGGTCTTGGGTGTGCAAGATCTGCAAGTAGGCACCCAAGTTGTCCTTGAACTGGTACAAGCAACTCGGATGCTGCTTACTGCCTGGGTGCTCAAGAATTAGCACATAGGCGCTTTCGTCAGGTTCGAAGTCGGGGTTCACCCGAGCCCCGTTGGTCGCATACTGCAGGATAGTCACCTCAAACGGTTTGGGAACGTCTGCCGGCTTGTTCTTGGCAAGCTTGGGCTTGCTGCTACGGCGCGGGGTCAAGCCTGCAAGAGGCGCTGGAGGGATGCCAGCTGTGACAGATGGCGACTTTGCAGCTGCAGGGCTCCCGGGCGGTGGATGGACAGGTGGCACAGCAGCAGGCGACGTTGGCGAAAGAAGCGGAGAACGGGGCGCAGCATCGGCTGTGGTAGCAGCAGCATCGGCTGGAGGAGCCTCCGCAGCGCGCTTCTGAGGAGTAAGCTGCCTTTGCTGCCTTCTCAGCTACCTTCTCAGCTGCCTTTGCTACTTTGTCAGCTGCCTTTGCTGCGTTGTCCTTCGAAGCTGCCTTTGCTGGCTTCTCTCTCGGGCCCATGGCCGGAAGTTGTCAATGACAGCGAGCGGAAGAGAATGATGATGCTAAAGATCGGAGATCAGATAGCTTCAGGCAGAATAGTGTTTTGAGAACAATCTGGTGTGCTACATGCTGATCTACGAGAATGTCCTTTGAGCATGGTTCTGATGCACCTCGAACCATCATCTGGTATTAAAAGGTTTGCAGAAATGATCCAATGTTGCAAAATCAATGAACCGGGTATGTCATGTACACAGCACTGTTCCAAACAAAGACGAGGAAGCCTGGCACAGGAAGAGCCAAGAAACAACAAACCGACAAGTGGTGAGTCTTTTTTGGTTTCGGCGGCAAGCGTCTAGACTAAGCTGTGTGCGGTGCTTTCCGCTTCCGCGCCTGTAGGCGCGGTACCATATAGAGCCTGACCCCTGCTGCCCGGGAACGCCCGGAAGACGTTGCAGCAAAGGTCTTGTGGCGAAATCACGGAGAGCAGTGGCGCCGTACGCTGCCAAGGTAGCACTGCCGGCGGACCACCATCAAGAAAATCTCTTGACGGTGCTCGCAGCAAAAGCAAAGTATCGAAGGTTCGAAGTCTGCTAAGCAAAACATAGATGCTCAGCCAATACTCATCCTAAGGAGTAGCAAAAGAAGGCAAAAAAATCATCCATCCAATTTTGCACGTGAACGCTACTGAAGCAATAGCAAAGCAAAAAAAACATGGAGAAAGCTGAGGGCTGCGCTCGCCCCATTCCTGGAGGCTTTGAAAAGTCTGCAAGCATTGCTTCCAAAGTCTGCCCTTGCAATGTGTAGGCTGTGCAGGCGAGAGGGTTTGTGCATGGAAATTGCCGCCGCGTGGTTGCAAGAGATGCACCAGCTACGGTCTCGTGGAGCTCCGACGGAAACTGACTGCAAGCGTCTGGAGTGCAAGTGTGCTGCCAGTCTCGTGTAAGAGGTTCCAGAAAACTTTCCCCAACAGAAAGCAAAGTGCTTTGATGGAAGGTGCCATCAAGCTTCGACGATGAGGCGCATTGGCAAGAAAGACAAGATATGAGGAGGCAACGACGAATCACTGTCAAAAGGAAGTTCGTCTTCATGAAAAAGCACATTGCGTAAAATGCAAGGGCATCCACGGACAAGGCCATGCTCTTCAGAGATCTTTGTTTCGAGCGTCAGGTGGCAGCCATGCCACAAGAACAACACACCTGGGAGGTTTTTGGTCTCGGTCAAGTTGGGAACCGAACAGAGATATTGCAGCAGCAATGGATGTGCAAGAGAAGAGCTCTGAGTAGTGCGACAGGAATCCACTGCAGTGCAAACAAGAAGTCGCTGTCCAGCCAATCGTGCGAGATGAAGGGCCCGCTGCAAGCAAGCAATGGCACGAACACGATGGCGTAGAACTCCAATGCAAGCATCATTTGACCAGAAGCAGGACGCCTGAACTCGAGGATCATGTGGAGGAAGACGTCTGCTTAACAATGCTGCCCATGCCTGGTGGGAAATAGTTCCTTCGCGCATCTCACTCAGAAATTGCTGCCCATGAGCCCGATGGGCAGTATCCAAAACGATGCAAGAGGAAATGTTCCGCCACAAGCTTTGGCCACGTAATGCAGCAAGACGTTTCTGACGGACAGCCGCTGATTCAGCTGGAGATGGATCTTCGGCAGGGTCGGGCGCAGGAACATCAGCAAGACTGGCAGCCGCAACAGGCGGCAACTGCATGAAGTCGCCACTGAGCAATATGGACATACCAAAGAAGGTGCGGTGCATTTTTGACTTGCTGTGCCCGGAACTCAGCATCACCAAGCAAATCGGCAGGGATCATGGAAACTTCATCAATAGCAAGGAACTGCACGAGTCTCCACGTCGCCAAAAGAAATTCTTTATCCTTGCCAAGCGAACGGGTACTGGCAGTCCAGCCGTTCCGAGGCAAGCGAAAGGCGGAATGTAAAGTTCGACCGTGGATGAGCCGTGAGGCAGAATTCATGTAGGCGCATTGTTGAGTGCTTGCCGGGAAAAAATACCTCTGCAACGCCAGAACTAGTTTGACCATATGAGTTTTGCCAGTGCCCGGCCACCAAGCAAAATCAAGTCGTGGCGCGGAGGTGGAACCGTGGTGCTCAAGAGGCGTTCCTAAACGTTTGGCAAGCGAGCAGCCAAATGTCGCAAGACAACAAAGATACGGTAAATTTAAACACAGACTGTGCAGAAATAAATCCGCCCGTGAACGAAAACGTGGAAAGAAAACTTTGGCAGGAAAAATAACGGGGTTTTGAGGGCAGGACCTGCAAGCAGGTAGCAAACAAAACCAGGAAGGCAGCTTGTTTATGATCCACACCTCCGTCAAGATCTTGACAGCAACCATCGCGCAACCACTGTTCGACAAGGGCCAGCGCAGGCAAAGAAACAGATTCAGAAATCTGTGGCGAAGGGCATGGCAAAAGCAAAGGCTTGAGGGGCGGCTGCTTCAACAAGTGTTCGTGCGATTGTCGCCAAGCAGCCCATTGCTGTCGGAGAAGTGGCAATTGCAAAGACAGGGTATCAGAATGTAAGGATCTGAAACCTGATGCTGGAAAATTCGTTGGCCGCAAAGGGAAGGCAGCAGCTGCAAACTCGAGCGCGTACTGTGCCGTTGGTCTGTGTGATGTGGCAGGGCCGTGGGTCAGAAAAGAACTCATCTCGTCCCAGGTGCAATCAAAACCTGTGGCCGCAGGCAATCCAACGTAAGAAAGATCCACGTCGAAATCCACACCATCCATGTCTGAAGCCGTGGGATCGGAACCCGCGGAAAACGAATCGACGTCACTGATATCCAGCATGTTGTTGGGATCGTGATCCTGCGCGAGAGCATCACCGCGTAGGAGCCCCGGATTGACGCGTACAGACCGTACATTGTTGTCCACCTGGGCGCCCTGAAGCGCATCGAGATTTGCTAATACATCCAGAATACCTTGTAGTGTCAAGAAAGAGACAATGCGCAAAATCAGAAGCAACTATGCTGGAAGACGGAACAAAGTAATGGCCAAGACACGATCAGCCCAAAAAACGAGAGAAAACGGCAGTGGCCGAGCTTGCTGCGAAGACTGCAACGTGAGCAAGTGGTTGAAAAAGTCGGAAAACGCTGCGTCGCACGATGCAAGTCTGGAGGTAGCGTCGCCGCGGCAGGGACGCAGAAGGTCATGCAAATGGTAACTTTGCCACGGCTTGAAAAGAAGCAACAGCATCAAAGCACGCAGCTGTGGATCTTGGGACTGGGTTGGAATAAATCGACCGACCAAATGAGGAACGGCCCAAGCTTCTTATTTGTTTCTCGAGGAAACCGGTTGGGTTGGAAGTTTCCACCTTATAACCTGTAACCTTATCGTGCGTATATTATCAGACAGGAGTACCATGTATATATATATAATATATCGGAGGTACGCAACGTCGTTCGCAGATCCAATCACCCAGCGTTTCTTTTCAGAAACTTGGTCCGTTCACTCAAAAATTTTCTGTCAAAAATTTTTCCTGTCTTCTCAAAAAATAATGCTGGTACGAAAAACAGTTTGCACAACATGTTGACAAGTTCCAATGGCTGACATCGCTCGGGACACACCTTTTTTCATTCGGAGCAAAGGGGAAAGTGCGATCCCGTTCAACCGTCAAACGGCTGAGGGGTAGGCTCTAGGATGAAAAGGAAACCTTCCTCGCGCGAAGCGTCCAAGGTTTCGGGAAAATAGGGGCGGGAAAACTGACAAGTTTGGGCGGGAAAAATTCACAACCACTCAAAAGTGAAGTGAAAAACCCACCTCACCCACCCTGGTTTGAGGCGTGCGCGCACATATAAATTATGTCGCTGATGTTTTGAAGGTTTTGACAGTTTGTTCAAAAACCTCTCAACACACCAAACCAAAACCTAGAGCCTTCTCTGTTTTGTGTCAGACGTGAAAACTGTCCTTGAAAAATTAAACAAGTTTGTTTTCACATTTTTCATCTGTCTGTTGTTTACGCACAGGTGTGAAACACAGGAGGTGGAAGAAAAAACACCCAACCTAATTTTGTCGGTACAAAATTTTTCCTCGTCTGTACAAATAAGGGGATCATCATTTCTTCGAAATGAGTAGCTCCCTTATTTGTTTCTCGAGGAAACCGGTTGGGTTGGAAGTTTCCACCTTATAACCTGTAACCTTATCGTGCGTATATTATCAGACAGGAGTACCATGTATATATATAAAATATATCGGAGGTACGCAACGTCGTTCGCAGATCCAATCACCCAGCGTTTCTTTTCAGAAACTTGGTCCGTTCACTCAAAAATTTTCTGTCAAAAATTTTTCCTGCCTTCTCAAAAAATAATGCTGGTACGAAAAACAGTTTGCACAACATGTTGACAAGTTCCAATGGCTGACATCGCTCGGGACACACCTTTTTTCATTCGGAGCAAAGGGGAAAGTGCGATCCCGTTCAACCGTCACCCCACTTATCAGATCGAAACTTCTGAATTTGCTCCCAAAGGTTGTCCCAATCGATGTTGACTCTGTCGACGCCTTCAGCGGTCAACTCTGTCACATCGAGCCTGCTTGGCTTGTCTGCAACATTGCTGCTAGTAGGTACCCGTGCAAACCAAACCTTCAATTGACCATGCATTTCATGAACAGTGAAGGTTCGGATCAACCAGCCGCCAGATTCACTCGGTGTTGCACCACTGATCAAAGCTCCTCTGGCCGCCTCATTGTCCAGATAGAACACGCTTTGGCAATTTCTTAGAAATTTCTCCCAAACACACAAAGCTATCACAATGGGCAGCAACTCAAGCTCGAACACCGGGTGACGTGACTCTTTCATGAAGTGGTCCATCCATGGTTTTGGTACTCTCTCCGATAGGAAAGATGTAACCCTTCCATCTGAACTCACCAAGACTGCTCCGACAGACCCAAGCTTTTCCTCGTCTCCTTCGCATGCACCATCTGTGAAAACATACCAAGTCTGTAAATTGGCCGCCATCACTTTGGTAGGAGCCGCTGTCAAAACACGGTCCTTCAGAAAAT